CGCGCCTGAGTAGTAGTAGTAGTAGTAGCAGCAGCAGCAGCAGTAGTAGTAGTAGCAGTAGCAGTAGCAGTAGCAGCAGCAGCAGCAGTAGTAGTAGTAGTAGTAGTAGTAGTAGTAGTAGTAGCAGCAGCAGCAGCAGCAGTAGTAGTAGTAGTAGCAGTAGTAGTATCGTATATGCATCAACATCATGCCTCCACAGCCCCACGGGAAATCCAGTTGCAAAAGAGTTCGCCATATGCATTTATAGTGACATATCCTCCCTGGTATATGGTAATACGGTAACATCCTAGTTGGCCTACTCCCATTTCACCTACTCTCAGAATGGGTAATATTCCCATTTCACCTACTCCCATTTCGTCTACTCTCAGAATGGGTAGTGCTATTTCGTCGTAGTATTGATATTACAACAAATACGAGGAGAAATTAGCGTGAATGACACTCCGTCTAGTCTATGTATGCTAATCAAATCCATATATTACAATTATAAATGATTATTTAGTGGACAAACTGATGGTAGACAAAATGGGAATGGGGTGGATTTTTAGTGTAGACGAATTGGGAGTAGGCGAAATGGGTGTATGCCAACTGGGAGTTTTGCTATAGACGAAATGGGAATTTTGCCGTAGGCGAAATGATGAGGTTACACCTCCTCCCGGGTCCACACATCCACAGTAAAAGCAAATGAGTACGCTGCATCCGTGCGCACGCGCAAACAACCGTAAACAATTTCCGAATTCGCAGATATACCTACAGAGAAAGGAAAGCTGGGTTTACACTACCGACTTTGTGTTGGCAAATTGGCGAATTGGCGAATTGGACCAACTTCCCAACTATACAACCGATAATCGGCAGTGTAAACGCAAAAGTTGCGTGATCGATAGCAATTAACTAGTTGAGAGATTAGAACACGTTCTATTTTCGCCAACTCGGAGTTGCCGAATTGGGAAGTTGGTCCAACTGGCCAATTCGCCAACACAAAGTCGGTAGTGTAGACCCAACTTAAGTTGACGGCGCGACAAGATGATTCGCTCGTTATATATAATTATCGCTTCAGAGAGGGGACGGGATTAGCTCGTTATGGCTTCACAGAGCGGAATAGACGATTCGCTCGTTAAACCTTCACAGAGCGGAATAGACGATTCACTCGAGAAACCTTCACAGAGCGGAATAGACGATTCGCTCGTTAAGGCTTCACAGAGCGGAATAGACGATTCGCTCGTTAAGGCTTCACAGAGCGGAATAGATGATTCGCTCGTTAAACCTTCACAGAGCGGAATAGACGATTCGCTCGTTAAGGCTTCACAGAGCGGAATAGATGATTCGCTCGTTAAACCTTCACAGAGCGGAATAGACGATTCACTCGTTAAGGCTTCACAGAGCGGAATAGACGATTCGCTCGTTAACGAACTAACTCTTCAGAGAGGGGACGCTAACGATTCGCTCGTTAACAAACTAACTCTTTAGAGAGGGGACGCTAACGATTCGCTCGTTAACGAACTAACTCTTCAGAGAGGGGACGCTAACGATTCGCTCGTTAACGAACTAACGCTTCAGAGAGGGGACGCTAACGATTCGCTCGTTAACGCTTCAGAGAGGGGACGCTAACGATTCGCTCGTTAACGCTTCAGAGAGGAGACGCTAACAAATCGCTCGTTAACGCTTCAGAGGGGACGCCATTCGTCGGGGATTCCTCTCATCTGCGTCTTCTGTCGGCGTACGCGCGGTGAGGAGAAGGTCCGGATTCCTTACCGATGCTCCGGACGGGAAAGTTTTCGTCTCTCCGTGTTTCAACTCGATGAACGACGTCGCGTCGGCCAGTTTAGCGCGAGCCGCGTGCAAGTCATTCACCGGCTGGTCGTACTCCTGAGGGACAAAAAAACACAAGGCAGTCAGGTCAGCGATCGATTCCGTCATCTCACTCAACTCATTTAACTTAAGTCGTTTAACTGTTATTCATTTAACTGTTATTCATTTAACTTAAAAGTCATTTAACTGTTATTCATTTAACTTAAGTCATTTTAACTGTGTCAGGGGTGGTGTCGGTGAAGGTGCTATATATGCAGTTATGTGATGGCAAAACTGCACGTAATGTTCTGTGATGTCCTTGCATCATCATCGTCGTCGTCGTCGTCGTCATGATTTCAATAATTTACTGCTGTTTTAATAATTTAACGTACTCCTGTCGCTGTTGGCGATCGGAATTTATAATCGGATATAAAGCCGGAAAGAAGAGACAGGCCGCTAGTAAAATCACGTAGGATCACACATTGCTATATGCACCGCGTTGGTAAAATTAATTGGATAAATTCATAATCAGTTGTAAAGCCGTTAAGAAGAGAACAGCATGCTAGTAAACTCACATATAATCACACATTGCTATATGTACCTCGTTGCTAAAATTTATTGGATAAATTCATAATCGAATATAAAGCCATAAAGGATGAAACGGCACCTTATATAAAATCACGTATGATCACACATTGCTATATGTAGGCCTACCTCGTTGCTCAAATTAAAGGTACCCCAGAGGATTGCGACCGACTGCTTTGCTTTGATATCCATGTGGATATTTACAGCTTCTTCTGGATTGACGTGCTGGGGACACATGTACCAACTAAAAACAAGATAATAAAGATAATGATATATAATAAATTATAATTATAATAATATTATAATGTGGTTAATGACACCACTATACTTATATTTCTGTTAGTCTTTATTTTTCATATATATGGTAACATTTAATGATTATGACTTAAAAATGATGATCATATTGTTGAAATTACACTTACATTAATTTACGTTTGTACACGATTTGACTCAATTGAGACATATTGCCGCATCAGACATTTTTATACTTATATATACACACATAATTATATATTTAGACCTATATATATGAGACATATTCTTAGTTATACATAATATACATATACATATTTAGACTTAAATATATATGAGACATATTCATACATATACATATACATTATACTTATATATACAATACATATTCATACATATACATATACTTATACTTATACAGATACATTATGCTTATACATATACAATACATATTCAGACATATACATATACTTATACTTATACAGATACATTATGCTTATACATATACAATACATATTCAGACTTATACACGAGACATGTATATGTCTGTACATTGTCTTGTATTTGAATAAGCATAATGTATCTGTATAAGTATAAGTATATGTATATGTATGAATATGTCTCATATATATATAGGTCTAAATATGTATATGTATATTATGTATAACTATGAATATGTCTCATATATATATAGGTC